ATCAATATTAAACTCTGAATGTGTCGGGGCGAATTATTGATTGTGTCCTCCTGACTTTTACGTTAACATGTGAAGGATTCTCACTATTAATCGTCGATCATATAATAATTTTTTCGCATAGACAGTCTAATACCACATATGTTGGTTAATTATCTACATAGTCCGGCTTTAACCTATCCATACGTATGGTGTCTATGCCCCCGTGTTTTCGTCCGACGAAATGCGTAAGTCTTCGTGCAACCACTGTGGGTAAATCTTTTAATAGAAAACAAATTCAATTACGTATTTCTTTAACTTTGTCACACCTTATCCAGGCATGGATGCAGATGCTTAGACACTTCGGTATATACACATAGCTCGCAACTGTTGATGATATGAACTTATTTAAGCTTGGTCGAGATTCCTCGGTGAAAGTTAAAATGCGAGACAAGGCAAAAAATTAAAAGAATTATAGGTTTATCCACTAAAACTCTTGGGCGAGATTCGCAGCGCATTCCTTCTGTTACAATACTCCCAAAGCGATTGGATGATCAAAAATTTACGGAGTACTTATCTATTACACGAATGGTAATAAATTCAGACGACTACACTCTGTGTAACAACGGCTTTCGCAGAAATAGACCCCAAAGTTAAAGATGGAAAATTAGGAGTTCGAAGTTCGACACCTCGAGAGCCACCCAAATCACACATGGTAGCAAGACTCCGGTAGAGGTGAAAGTTTACACACTTGGTCAGGTTTGTAGATAAACGAGTTGTATCTGGTTCGGACGCTAGGGCTTGGGTCGAATGACAAAGGTAAAATGAACGGAGCTGATGCAAATCCACCTCCTCTACTACCGGACTATCTCACGTTATAACAGAAAATTTTGAGATATTGAAAGATTGGACTTGTAACTTTTTCAGTCAACGGCGTTGTAGAAGATTAAATCCTGTTTCATCATCGTAGAAATTTTTCGAAAGTACAGTTTCTAGTGGTACACTTCAAGGATCTTTTTTTCGTGTTATAAATATATAATCTATTCAGAGTAGCAAAGTCACTTGTTATATTGCTTAGTGATGACCACTAAACCTCAAAATTAGTGAGGCCGAAATGGCAGAACTACAGAAAGAATTGGATTACTTGATAGTGTGAACAAATAGTAATCACAGAAAGTAAATTCTAGAAAAAGCACAGTAATGCGAATCAGTCATTACGACGATTTACATAAGAACACAATAAATAGAACAGTATCACTCAAAGTAATTAATTTTGATAATTTAGGAGCCGTAATTAGTGATAATCTTAAAACCGTGGGTTGAAATTTATGGTCTATTCGTGAGGCATCACATACTTTAAGTGAGGAAGCAATTAGTATACTGTACTATGATGTGATTTTGGTAGACCGTATTTAAAATATTTAAATAAGAAACAGCATGTCATTATCTGACTTATGAACGGGATGTGTTTGAGAGAGTTTGATGGTGAGTGATGAAAGTGGTAAAATATTTTTCTGACGTTCTGATAGAAGATAGACTGAGAGGCATTATTATGTTCTCACTGTTTTCTCTCAGACCTCAAAGTGATATAACACTGGCTTACTATGTGATAAACAATGATTTTGAGACTAACATCTATCGGTTTTCTTTCCCATGGAAGGAGTCACCTGTGAGAGAGGCCTCAGAGAGTTTGATAAACGAAATCAAACAGTTTCATATTAGAGTTTCACTCCTCTCATCGGTCGGAGAGTTACTATAAATTACTGTTGAAAAATGTAATTCCTTTTTTTACGGTCATGGAGATTCTCAATCTTGGAAGTAACACGGATCAGAAGTGTTAACATTGCTTCCCTGACTTTAATTTTGATACCAGATGACTGACAACTGAAGTACTAAAATTCAATTCATTTCTTGTCATAGAAGGCAAGAGTCAGTCTTGGAAATCTAGTCCTTAGTAGAAAGTCAATTAACTTATAACGATAAGACGTACTTCTTTTGTACGCATAGTTCTGGTTTAAGCCCCTGGATGGTAAAAGCTTCGACTATTTTTAAAAGTTGGATGCGAAGGGATCTCTTTTCAACGACTTTTCATATATATGCGATTGTACAGCTTGATAATAAATTTGTTGAAAAGTGATCCCTTCGTATCTAACTTACATTAATCCATATAATTTGTAGTACTATGAAGATCCACTCTCGCTTTAAATGTATCAAGTGCATCAAACTCCGGTGATTCACTATTTGAGTAGATTCACTAGTTGTTGTGAAAAACGTAACTCTATAAGTGAAGTTTTCACCTCGGTTTTTGAACTTTCTTAAAATTTCCTTTCAGATGATCAGTCCTATGTGAAAGGAAAAGATAAGATATATTAGTACCAAAACCATCATTCAGTGTACGATAAGTCCATACTGGATCGCCCGGTAATCTTCGATGACATAATAGAAATAGGTTGAGACACCTCAGTCTTTCTTCATATAACGATAGGCTAGAGAAACCATTAACAATTTTGATCCCTCGACTTTGAACTCGTTCTAGAACATCCGCCCAACATTCATACTAGCACAAAAGACCCTGAAACATTTGTTAGCGACGGCCTTGCAGTTAATCTTAGTTTCGAGGTCGTTCATTGCCGCAGGTAACGTCATTTCATATATTGCATTGTGGCATGAAACGTCTCAGCCATTAAGTCGCATTACCACAATCTTGTTAAGTAAACGTTTGATGAACACTCATATACAAATTTAGCCAGTGAATTAGGGTCACCCTGCAATATTATTCAGCTAGTCATACTGTGTCTGGTTCCTCAGATCTTTTTATCATTTGCGGATAGTCGAACAGATGACTTTGCAATGGTTAGTGAGTTGTTTACATACGGTAAAAAGTGACCAGAGATTGTGTCTTGAGGAATCTCACTTTTATGGATCCCGGCGATGGTATAGTCTAATTAACCCACGACCGTTGTCTCCTATGATTGATAAAGTCATTTATAAATTTAACGATTTTACAGTGGATCTCGAAAATTTCCAGTTGCAATTTAAGACCTAGGTGGTAGACGATGGCAAAGGCTTTACTTAGGTCTACGAAACTTGCCCGTTGAAATATTTGTATCTTTCACTGCATTCCAATCCTTTACTGCAATGAGTGGATTTGTGAAGTATGAGAAGCCCTGCCTAAAACCATGGTGTTCCTAAATAAAAGACTATTCGATTCCATATAATTTAAATTGGCCATTTGAATAATCTTTTCTATTGTATGACAACTAGACCAGTTAAACTAATGGGTCGGTAGTTATTAAGTTTCTACTCTACCGAACTGATTGCCGCGTCTTTTCAATTTCTTGACAGTTCAGAATTCTACAAATACTTATCAAACAGCATTACCAGAGGTTCAGAAATTATATCCGACAGGGTTCTCATAATCCTAGGATAGATATCGATGGAATCACTGGACTTATCTGGCGTAAAATGTTGAAGTAATCGTAAGAAAACTCTGTTCCCAATAACTACGGGTTTTATTGGCAAGTCGTCATTATAATTAGTTGTTAGTGTTTCGCCATAGTAGTAAGAAAACACTACCTAAATATTTTGATAAAGTCCTGGCCCTTGCATGATCATTTCTTGCCAGTATCAACAGATTTTCGTGTACCAGAAGTGGTGGGATTCCATCATGTCTCTGAGTTTGCCTCTTTATATATACATAAGAACGACCTTTTCGGTGTAGTTTCACAATCCCTAAACATTTGCTTTTCATATGAATGTCTAGACTTACTTACCAACACTCTGAAAGCGTTCCTAGTCCTATAGTAAGTGCATTTGTATTATAAGCACAGAGGGATTTTGTGGATATCATAGTAATTTTAGTACTTGAATTCATGAGTCATTTGAAGCTAGATAACCAGGGAAAACCTGGGAGCACTGTATGGCCGTTTCACCCTAGTAGTGCGCATCCACGATCCCACCTCGCGAGATTCGAACCCAGAACCTAACAGTCTCGCGCGACAATTTAACTTCTAGACCACTGAGCCGGCATCCATGGTGGTATAGCTTCAATTGGCTTATGAATTCAATTATTAAGTTTACTACAATGTCCATAAAAGCCCTCTCTGATTATAATCACCATATGCTCACTAGTGACGGTCTCCAAAAGATATTTCCTGGAGTCCTAGTGAGAAGCCATGACTGATGGAGTTCATCAGGGTCTGCTGTGAGATAGTAACTTGCTGACGACAATGATGGACGGTGGTGCGACTTCGTGGGTCAGATTTTGTTGTTCAGTGCCCGTAGTGATAAATATACTCCAAAGCCTTTTTCTACGGTTAAGAAGTTTCTTGACCTGTTTAGATATCCATGGTGGACAGTTACTTGACCTGAGTGGGAAAGAGCTGGTTATAAACAGAGGAGTAACTAAGCTAAGCCCACCTTTAAGTTTGGACCATGGTTCTTCAATTAATGAGCTAGTATTTACTCAACATCCCGTTGTTACAATGCATTCGTTCATGCCCAATATTTTTGCACTCAACACATTTGGGAGAAGTTTTACTCAATCATATATCACTTTACAAGCCCTAAAGTCGAATGACGAAACAGCACAATCCCCATTTTCTAATCGTGGGAGGATATTTAGATAGGCAATATCTTCAACTGTATGAGTGATTACTATGTTTAACAAAGAAGGTCCTTGCTTTGAAACAAAGTGTGTGGGTCCGTATACATGCATGCTGCATCCCCGTTATCAGAGAGAGTTTTCTGGTTCTACGGTGACCATTCCTGTTCAACTAATATCAGGTACATTAATATCTCCTAATATAAAGCGCCAGTTACTTTTACTTCCTAGCTGAATGTTCACTGAAATAAAGACATCAGCGAAAAGAATGGACCACGCTTACGACGAACGCTCACAAAGAAGATTTCGGTTTTCATTAGGAATAACCTAGATCAACCGGTCTTCCCACCTTATCCTCAAAAACTGGAATTTGAACGGTCATGTATACAATACAAATTCCAACGTCACGGCAAATATTCAAGTGAGGATGTGACGGACTTTGGTCCAGCTTCTTGTCTTGTGAAACTCGTTATGCCGCTGGATTCAAGCAAGGAAGTCCTCGTTAAGCCATCAAACATATTTTTTCATTATTCAACCGAAGGTACTTGCAACACATGCCAAGTATTGATTGTTAATAAATCAGCAAGAATACTGCGCTTCAAAGGTAAATTCAGGAGTCTTTTAAGATCGTATCATTAAATACTCAGTTTTATCTACAGCACGTTCCAAGTATTTGCTGTCAGTATGCAAGGGCATTTTGAAGTCTGGTGAATTCGTTGAAACGTAATTCTATCAGTTTCACTTAACTATTTTTTTCAGTGATATTTCAGTTTCCAGAGTTTCAATAACGGATGATACAAAGGACTTTTTCAAGATCCAGTTTTTCGATTCATACGATGGCTCCGCTTTTTGTAGGTTTTCGTAAACAGTAATTTGTTTTCCCCCTTCCTGGTATGGTCGAATACTCCAGTCTACGCTGGCCGTATATGTTTGTAACTTCCCTAGTTCAGCTAGCTGACTATTTGATAGACCAGTCCAAATGGTGTTTGTCAAAGTCCTAGTACTTCCACTAGCCTTTAATCCCCTTTTGGGTTTGTAAAGAACACAAGGCTGGATGGCATGTGTTATTCCTGGCAATGGGGTCTCTCAGTTACTCAAAACTTTCTTTGGACCCATCGACTAGCGAAACTCTAACTACATACTGGTGTTCAGAGTTACAGTGGCTGCAGACTAAATAGGTTTTGTAGTTAACTGGCATGTAATCGATTCTTGGCTCGTGAGCGTTCAGTGCTCAGTGATGAATCCACCTTGGGTTACAGATAGGCTAAAACGTACTTAAAAGATCTGCGACAAGAGGATATGTTTCACCGGATTCTATAGCGGTATAAGGATTGAATAAATTGTCGTAGGTGCTATCCATATTCATCTATTTAACTAATTTACAAATGCGCTGGACGTATGTTCAGACAGATTTATCAATGTCTTTTAAACCATTGTTTTTCTGGCATACTTATCATTACTGTTTCTCTATTGTTGTTGATTTAAAAAGAAAGTAACGAAGACTTCATCAAGCAAAATTTATACTTATTTCTATTGATTGTGCTTATTGTGATTTACATCGCTTTCCATTTTTAGGCGAGCATTATGTATGTTCAACAATTTCGCGTAACCCCTCTCATAATGTTGCTATTCAAGATTCAGACTCATGCAGCACTTGGCCCAGTCGTTATCATGATGTTGGTTTGTCTAACTCAAGCTTAAGAACAGCATCTTTATCGCGAGCTTTCGGAAACCCGATTGGGTCAGAAAAGCGCCCTATTACTACTAAGACATACTTACCATTAGATCGTACGAAATGTGTGGGTCTTTCTAACATGTTCCCTACAGTTAAAGCACAGAAGAATAGACCGAATTCAAGTAAATATTTAGAATTATGAACAAATTACTTTTGTTTTCTTATTGAGTTTTACGCTATCTATCTGGGTGTTTGGTATTTGCGTATTTAATACAATGTATAGTTTTTCATATATTCAGTTTCCTGATTTCGTGCTAGATATCTAGCTAGGATAAATAATATACTCTGTTGACGTACGAAGTACTTAGCTATTAGGATTACTTGGTTGTATTTTTATCAAAACTTATACTTTCCTTCACTTTCACCCAGTAGCATAATCTATGGAATCTATCAGCTAGACGGTTTCAAGAGGTTTCGTTACTTATCGGTGGCTAGTTTATTTTATCCATCCCCACTTTGTCTTGGCTAGAATATAAATACGTCTAACAGGTATTTTAAAAATATTGCTGACATGTGGAGTTCATGAGAAGTCTAAAACCAATAGAAGTGCACGCTTCCTTTCTAGAAACACCTGAGAAATACGTCGTTAAGTGCTCTATTATCAGTTTATCAGTAACTCAATCACAAACATTGTTGCTAGGTCCAAAATTCTGTGATGTTTCCACACATGTCTATGGGCTTAGCACAAAAATTCATTTTGAAAGCCTGATCCACTAGACAAAAGACCTTATCCCTGTATACAACAAAGAACTTAAAAAAACATTGTGGATTGTCTTAATATATCAACACAAAATCAACAAGTAAACTACTTTCTAGAGAATAAATTCCAACTATTAGATCTATTGAGAAACGAAGATATAGCGTTAAATCGAACGAATTCCCTAAAGAAAAGATGCTACAGATCAAACTGAGCGTAAATCAACTAAACTCCTCAAGAGAATGAAAGATCTCTTTGAAAAACAGATTAACTGGATCCATTATTTCACGATTATATAAATAAGAACGATACCCATCTACATTTCATACTAGATATGAATAACTCTCCATATCATGCCATCGCTAAATGGCTAGTTGAAATTCTGCGTCCGCTCGAAAATCAACTCAATAGATACACAACTGCTGATTCGTTTGATTTTGTTAGTTCAATACCGTGTCAACCTAACCGTAAAGGTGACGTCACTAGATATCTTTCTAACGGAAACAATCGCCCATTATGTGATTACGTTGAAAACAACAAACTCGATGTTGATATTCCAACGCACTGCCTGGAGGAAATACTTTTTCGATGCACTCTTAACGTCCAATTTATGTTTAGGAATGAGTTCTGTGGACAAACTGACAGTGTAGCGATGGATTCAACACTTAGCTCACTGCTATCTGACTTTTTCGTTGCTAATCTTGGAAACATACTTAGAACAATAATTGACAGCTGTCTACTCAAAAGATACTTAGATGACACTTTCATTATTTGTGACAAAAATACCAACGTCAACGACATCCTGTACGTGTTCAACAGCTGTCATCAATCAGTTAAGTTCATGATGAAATCAGAGTCGGAATCGAAATTCTGCTTTTTAGATGTTTTGGTAAGACGACCTGACTGTCCCCTACAAAGATCGATATATAGAAAGCCAATATGGTGTGGTCAATACACAAAGTCTCAAAGGTAAGTCCCACTGAAGCAAAAGAGAAACCTGATTCATTCTCCCTGTTTGAGGGTTATACGCATCTGTACCGAGAATATAATCAATACAGAACTTGATAAACTACAGTAGATACTAGTCAACAATGGATATCCACCTTGATTCACGGAGAAAAATCCGAAGCCAAAACAACGTGAGTATCCATAGCGCCAAAGAAGACTTTCTTCATGAACATTCTGTTTAAAGGAGACACTTCAGCGAAAAAAAACAGACTTCCAAGATCTCTGGGGAAAACTTTCTATTCGGCTGAACTTTGGATTATCTTTTCTAATCGGCTTATAATTAGAAGTTGTGTGAAAGATAAGTCCCTGCTCTGGGCCAAATCATTGTGTATCTTCAGTGACACAATAGGTGCCTTTCGTTACATCGATAATCATAGTAGAGTAACGTTTTATAATGTTCACGTAAATGTCAATATTATTCTTTTTCTGGTCGTGGCTCTAAACCTGTTTGAACTAATGGTTCTCATTTGTTCATTCTAGCCCATTGAAAACAGCTAATTTTATTATACTTTGTATTTAGTTTTCAAGTCCCGTTTTATGCCATCTCTAAGGAAATGTTCTGTCTAAAGTAACCCTGTTAGTATCTCATCACTTACTCTAGTACATGAAGTAACGTTATTGTTTTGATCTTTTTTTGTAGGTACGTTAACGGTCTGTCGTGGTACCAGTGATAGTCAATCAGAAAACGCTGGAACAAGCATCATCTTGTTTAATAATCTACTCTATAATTCTTTGTTTATTTTAAGTTTGATTGTTTGTCTATTTGGAATTTTACTACCGTTCCTTCCATATGATTGTAAATTATGGTTATTGTCAAAAGTACTTCATGAGCGATTGAAGATTAATCATATTACTGCTACTCCAAGTTCACTGACTTTTCCATATCATTCACAAAACGTCCATGACCATTCTCAATCTTATAAGCAAAGTTCTGGAGCCACTTATTCATCGACAACTGAATGTCCTACAGGGGAAAATCCACCAAAAGATGAGTTTAATCGTCACACTCGTCTGGCATTCTTTGCTTTCAAGAGTGCATTGCGTAGTATTTACAGAGCAATAATTGCTTTAGATCCATTAGTCGCAGTTGCTAATATGTCATGGTTTTGCTTAGGTGAGCATTTTGAATCCTATTATATGTTTACCTTGATATGTTGTTTATTGTAACACAATCTTCATGAATTTATAATTGTGCCATCTGGAGAAAAACTTATTGGAAACAGTTATTCGCTTAGATATCCTTTTCTTTTCTACTATATCCTGTGGGAATATTTAAATTAGTGAAATGTTAGATATTTAAATTTAATGTTTTAACCAACTGCGATGGTTTGTAAATGCTGTTGCTAGTCAGTTCGTCTGTGCGGATTCGGTAGACGTCATCTCTTATTATGTCTCAAATAAATGACAATCTAATGAAACAGTGGTGATGTCTGCTTAACTATCTTTCATCGGCTTTCGCCAGTCAACATATTCACTCATAATGGGCCTGAATGATATAAATATTCATTAATCATCTTGTTTATAACTCGGTGGGACGGTGAAAATTGTTTGTGGATCACGCTATCCAATATTAGTTACGGTTGGCTTTTAAATAAACATACGAATACACAGGAACTGAAGTAACAGTCACGTTCATTCTGTGTGATGAACCATGTCTACTACATGAGGGCTAATGGTACTATGTGGTTGCTGAAGTCCTAATATATATAACATGTGATTCACTAGCTAGAATTCAAACACTTAAAGTGAGAAATAATGTATATTTTTAGAAAATAGAGGATATGTGCATATTACAGATTTTTGGTCACAGCTTTGTGATCCTCTTTATTTTCTAGTGCACTTTCGGTTTATTATTTTTTCAAAGCCTCATGTCTCGTTTTCCTTATATCATTTTACGGCATCGTAATTTTCTAAAGAATTCAACCAAATAATAATATACCAAAAGTTTTTTACAATGGTTTGCACATGATGTTATGTGATGGTTCGAGTTTTATAGGTGCTCTTCATGTTTTTCACGTTTTTGAAATTGTATCAATAAATCTCAATATTCATGTATATATGTATGCCTAATGTAATCAAAGCGATGAGTGTCACCTTTCCCTAACTAATTTTAATGAAGTGTTGATCTGCGTCATTCTTTTGTATAATTATAAGTTTAGTAATATTGTCAAATGGTTCAATTTTATTTATCAGGTTTGTTACTTATGTATCATTGGATAAAAAGAAGGTAAAGCTGAACAAGAAATACACAACTGATACCTTAATCCGAGATGTCGGCAAACCAGGGAAACCTTTGCTATTTATTTAATAATATAACTAGTATAAAAGAAAGATATCAACTTCATGATCTCTAGATGTTTGAAAATTTATCCAGATTTACAAAATGACTTCATTCTTGCTTTTACGTTTCTTCTGTTTCCACTACCCCTATCTGTATTCAGTATATGTAAAGCACTGTTTTTGGTTCAATTATTCCTTCATCTAGTGTACCTATTTTTCATAGAACACCTCATTTTCTACTTTCGTTTACATTATGTAACTTTTAAACTTAAAAAACGTTCCCTTGTGTATCAGCAACTGTTCAGTTAGTACAAGTTCCATGATTCCTATAATTTCATTATATATTTATCGAAACATTAAGTTACTTACTGGGTGGGTATGATTTATACATATATCATGTTTTGTAGCAGGTCCAATTAGTTCTTTTAAATCATTACTATCCTTTAGATTACTTTATTGTCTTATCCTCGTATTACTTAACCATTGTGATAACCTTATTCATAGGATTATACTTACTTGCATTTGATATTCTTATTCACTTTAACTACCAACTGCTGACAACATGCATATTTGTTTATTTTTCTGATTTATTTTTTCCCTACTTTGTTTAACAATCATACCAGTCAACGTTTTTCATGTATGTCCACACACTCACCTAATCCTCAATTTATAGACATTACTATCTTATAGAGTTGCATGAAGATGTATTATTTCTGTGAATAATTTCGTTTGTTTATTGTTTTTAGACGTTCTTTTATTTATTTCTATATCCTCTTTAAGAGTCTACTATCTAATCTTCTTGCCAGTCACTCTTACTGTTTTTGTCTCATTTTGCTTATACACACACATAAGCCTTCATCTGTGCCTTATTCACCTTTTCCTACCATAAACTAAAGCACCGCATTTATACACATTCTTGTACATCTGACAATACTTATATATATATATATATATATATATATATATATATATATATATATATATATATATATATATATAGGTATTCTCATTGCTTTCGTTAAGTTTGGTATTTGCTTTTTGTAATTTGTTGCATTTCGCACATATGTGTTTGTTTGCTTTGAAATTTTATCTGCCTTGGTTAAAAGATATTGATGCGTTCACCATATTCCTTATTTATTCAGTGTGTATACAATCTCACTTATGAATAATACAGATACGTTTTATGAAACATTAAAACATGTTTTACTTAGTCAAATTCTGTGCATACCGAAAAATCATTACGATTATAAAATAATAAAGAAATTCAGTTTGTTTGTTATTTTTTTGTAATATTATCAACAATCGAACTAAAACTCGCTAAAAATGTCTAAGTTTCTGCGCATAGTTATAATTTACAAGCATTTTATAAGACAGTACTAAATATGCTGTTTGTGTCAGTGTATTTTGAAAAAAATGTTAGAAAACTTGAGCCATTAATATCTAGACAGATAACTTATAAGTTGTTTGTACCCCATGTGACTACCACATGTAAAGGGAAACAAACGTCATGTGGTCTGGAATATCACTCTCCATAATCAGGATATTGAATAAAAATCGTTGGTATGTTGTTAAAAAAGCGGAATAAACCTTGTTGAATGACAAAGTATTGACGAATCATGAAAAAATATCTGCCATTGACAACTTTAACTAATATGATCTAAAGTTTATTTATTTCAACACATAAACATCGGTACAAGGAGGCACCGAATACATATGCGCCACACAAGTCACTTGATTTGTGTATGTGCTATGATACTGCCCGTGTGCCCAGACCGAAGCAGGAGATTTTCTCGAGGGGCCACAACCGGAGCATTTGGCCTAAATGTCTGATCCGCAAGGCAGTGGAGCAACCTAACGAGATGCATCCAATGGTAACTGGTGACCAACGATTGGTTCATACGCCATTTGTTCCTTCAGGATACTGGAGCCCATGTGTACCATTGTTTTGTAATCAGAGTTTTCCAACTCCCCTAGGTGAACTGTCCGTGTCCACCAACCCAGTTAAATCGCTGGGCATTCGTTTTTGATCTTCTCAGTTTCGTAAACAATACCCTGATGAGAGAAGACAATGAGTAGGGATTTCCTGATAGTGGTTGTATGTACGTGGCGATGTGAGAGCATTTGGAGAGGGAGAGCTGACTCTCCCCAGTCTCTGCCGTACCGGGGCATTTGCGGGCAATCACCAACTTATTTCGTTTACACGACTAACCAGAACCTCGTCAACTTGAACCAGCAATCAAAGAATTCAATAGTTCGTATTATGTTACAATAGTGCCATGCTGGATATTAATTCTGTTCAAGCTATAATTCAATGTTCAGGAAAGTATTAGTGTCCCAACCACTCGTCGATCTAACTTATCATTATTTTCCTATTGAGTTAGGGCCCTGATTATAGACCTGTGAATCCTGGTTATTTTGCTTTCTCTACTAATTACTTAGGCCTAACCATTTCTCCAAATAAACGTATATACTCCAAGGTCATCAGGACAGTGTTTATTCACTAGTTTTTGGCGTAATCGTCTGTTTTTAAGACAACGAGTGCCTTCTGCTAAGATCAGTTCTTCCTATTGTTGTCCTTAGGCTGTTGAATATCGCTTAGCTGTCTTTATGAAGTAGCTTTTCCGGTATCTAACGGTTGCACTAGATCCTTATTTGTGTTAGTGTTAGTACCTGGTTCTTATTATTTCATATAAAAGAGGTCACGATGTGATCAGAGTTGGGACGTCAGTCTTTCGGTTCTGATTTCGTAATTCTGTTTTCACAAGTTTGATGCTCGCTTGTTGTCTGCATGCTGAAAAGAATTAAGACTATGCGGGACATCTATCCGATGTGGCACAATGTCAAGGTGATGGAAGTCCGCAATTAAACTACGTGGTAGCACATGTTTGTGTGTTAAGAGTTGTTTGTGTTCGCTTTTACTTCAGATTATATTTATTTTAAGAATAACTCCGTTACCCATGCTTCATCACTTACTTAAGGATAAATAGCGAGTTCGTTTAAGAGCTGTTTCAACTGATTGGCCGTCGTCATTTGTGTTTCATTCCAATAGAAGTAGCTTTCTATAGATACTTAGGGTGCCTACTTTCAGTCGCATTCAAGCCACGCTCAATTTTTGTATTTCATTTGCATGATGAATTCGCACTCGGTCAAGGTTCAAATTTCACGGTTGGTGTTCATTTTTTTAGATATCAACTTTACTAAAGAGTCTTCCTATTGATCTTCTTTGATCTGTTGTTTTTGACGAGGTTTTAATCTTAACGTATCTAAAATGATATGATTCGTAATTTTATCTTTTCTTTTTGACACTACTTTATCATAATTTGGCTCTGTTGTATAAGGTTTGTAGTCGTCTGTGCAATGTTTTTGTACTTTGAACGGTTTGTGAAATTCAGGGTGGACTGTATAAATAATTATTAATAAAGCCTTGGATAGTATTTAGGTCCTATGATATAATGCTTATCAGGTATACTTGGGGATTTGTTTGTACTCATTTGTTGTGATGATTTTTGTTGTCAGTGTAAAAAGACTAAAAAAGTATTTTACGTTGAGGAATTATGTAGATGAGGAGTGACTAAGATTCTGAGCTTTTAACTTATCCATTGTTTCCGGTAAGTCGTATTTCACCAATATATATATATATATATATATATATATTCAGACCTGAAGACATAGATTTAATGCAATGGATAGTTTAAAATATTTTTCTCTCTCAGGTATATTACGATAATGAGACTAGTCACATTATATGAAATTCAGAATTCACGACCCAGAATAGAGAACAAGAGTATCGAATAGATAATACTTCATTCATCACAATTACAAGCAATCATTCTCAATGAGTCCGGTGTAAAAATCAATAACAAAGAAAGTAAATCACATTTAATCGTAGATGCGCACTGTTGAGGAGTCCCATACTAGGACGAAACGGCCGTCCAGTGCTTCCAGGTTTTCCATGGTGGTCTAGCTCCGATTGACTCATGATTTCAACCAGTGAAATTTCTAAAATCTCTACAAAACCCCTTCTGACATATTTAATAATCAGTAGGCTGTGCTTGTTTGTCTATACTCAGTGATAAATCATATTTTACTTTCATTATAACAGATCAAGAATCTTTTTTTTATTATTGAAACTTTTATCATAAAGTTATAATATTTACAGGATTGATTTCTATTGACTGACATTTTGAAATGGTTATGTATTAAGGGAAAATTGTTTTGGTAAACAATTTAAGTATCATATTATCAATGAGTGTAAGTTATTGTTATTTTTTTTTCTAAAATACAAAACCATATATGTTCAAGTTACGATTATAGTTCATCTAACGGAATTGATTTATTCCTATAGTTTACTATTTGGTTTCACAATAAGTACTGGTATGTATATTATTCAGTTTCAATTAAAATTTATCCTTAAGATTAACTATATTTTTAAGCTGATATTGTGATGTGTTCTACTGATGTCTATAGATATAAGTAGTATGTATCATTAATTGAAAGTGAAATATCTGGTGGCAGAAGGTTAAGAAGATCGAAGAAAAGAGAATGAGAATAGAGAATGATTAGTGTAGAAACGAAGGAACAATTAAGTGTGAGACAATTGATTGATATTTTGCAAATGAAGTATTTACTGTATAGTGCTCAGATTTTAATAAGAGATTCTGTAATTTTGTATTCAATTATATTTGGTTGTCCCCACTAGTGTTCTCATTCATTACAATATCAGTAATATTATATAGAATAGAATATTAAAATGTAGTTTAACTTATCTCTTGTTAAGGTCTATGCTTTACTGCTGAGTGTTTGAGTTAAATATGATCACATGATGGGTTTTTTCGTGGGTAGGGGATTACTAGTTCAAAAGAAGGATGTATCTATATACTTTTTCAAATGACCCCGAGTAAATATGATTTAGATTTCACTTACTCCTAAACAAATCTTCTAGGCTTAAAATTTTTGTTGAAAGATGACAATTCACCAGCTATTGTTTACTACTGCACAAATTTTCATGGTTAAGAAAACAGCATCACGTCAAGTGAAGAAAACTTATAACTCAACTCCCAGTTTTAGGTTTCGAATACCCTGGT